TCCACAACCAAGACGCAGAAGGCAATAAGCTCATGCAGCATTTCACGATATTCAAATCACAATATTTAACTTGTGCATAATATAGTATACATTCAACGCTAATCTAACGAGTGCATCTGTAGTACAACTAGAATCATGAGTGTTAGGGCTTTTGAACGACACAAGAACCACTGCTGCTGCTCCAAATTAAATCTCAAAAGATTCTGGAGCCATTGCTCAGTCCTCGCCTATCCACTTGCTTAACCTTGTGATCTACTTTTCTGTACTAATCTTGCGCCAAAAAAAAGGTCCAAAACTAATTTTGATAGACACCCTTCGCTCTCCTCTTCTTCCAAAATCTACTTCCTCTCCGCCTTCTCTCAAAAACATACCTCCTATCAGTAAAGCTCCTTATTGCTCCTGCAATGGATTTATACACCCTGTAGTGGATGGCAATGTCGACACCCCTGCAATCGCGCTGCACCGTTTGTCGCTCTCCTTTCATCATCAATACCCCTCACGGACCTCGTTGTTGGGCTGCGCTGTCGAGCTCCATCGTCCACCGCTCTACTGTGGCATCGATATCCCATGACAGACGTGGTTGTCGTGCTTAGTTGTCAAGCTGCATCGTCCAACTCTCTTCTGAATCATTCATACCCCTCACAGACCTTGTTGTCTTGCTTAGCTTGTTGTACTAAGGTGTGTTCTCTGTTACTGTTCTGACTCTATCTCTTTGTTGAGCATTTTACTTTGTAGATTTTGTCTTGTTAGCATCTTTATTTCTTGTGTTAGCTCAGCTCTGAGGCTCATTATTTGCTATCATGGCCTTCCTTGGAGTGTTATAAGCTTTAATTCTGGACCCTTCGCGACCACCACGTCCGAAACTTCGGGCAGTTTGGAATCCTTCTCCACAACCGTAACAAGAACTCATACTCAATTTGCAAATTGCGGCCATATGGGGTCCGTAACAGGCTCCTCGTCGTCTGCATCACCTTCGGCACTTATGATTTCGTGGTGGGCAAGAGGGAGAGTGCGCAACAGGTTGACAACAAGAATACAAGTGACACCCTGAAGTACATTCTCTGTGAATTTTCCCATCCCAAACATCACAAAATCAACCAACTTCAAAAGTGACCGACTCTATTTATTTTTCCTTTTCTTTCAGATTCTTCGATGGATATGTCAAGTCCAATGTATGGCAGCAGAGGAGTAATGTGAATTACAACAAATAGTTGGACGAGATTAGTAGTATTTCTTAAAAAAACATGTGACATTTAGTTGCCCATTTCCTCGCCACATCCAGAAGCTCCTTCGCTCTCCAACACTTGTGACAATGTTTTGTGGGGCATTCAATGATGATAACCATATGTCTTGATTCTTGCCTCCAGAATTGTCATACCAACTACATTCTTAAAGAAAATTGAGAGGAAGATTTTTTGCACACTTTCATCCATGACTTTCCTATGACAGCATAATGCATGAGAAGGGGTGCAAACAATAACCATTTTTCGTCTTCATTGAGCCACAACAAACTAAACCCATGACCTAACATTTTGCAATGTCGTTTATAAGGCTTGTATCTCCTCAAACAAGATTAGAAAAATACACTTTAATACAACCTAAAAGAACTAACAAATTGAACTATGTAAAAATTAAGAGAGTTGATTTCCTAAAATGATCAAGCTCCACTATCTACAAATTTTCAAAATTTATATTCAAATTCTACAACTGGCACATGTGTTACTTTTGTTAGATTATGTATATAGTTATAGGTAGAATTGATGGCTTTGAAGCTAGGAAAATGTTTGCATTTGGCAACACTCAAAATAGAAGCATTTCAAATAACTAGACTTGATTTGTATAGGATGTGATGTTCTCTTCCAACCCTCTATTTAATACCTTCATCTTTAGTCATGGGATATCTCTTATTGCAAGCAAATTTTACATATCCTTTTATTCTACCATGCACTTGTAATATATTATGCATTGATATTATGTATTATGTGTTTTTTACTATTGACAAGGCTTATGGCTTTTTGAATGTGTGCAGTCATACTTCATCACAATAATATTCCTAAAATATCACAAGAGGTAACTCCTCATACAAAAAAGATGATGGAGGGATATTGTCAAGTTGAAACTATTGAAGACCATTAAAGCAACAGAATTGCAATGTAGATGTCAACCTTCTTTCCAACTCAAGTCTAAAAGTGGGCTTTTAGAATCACAAGATGAATATTTTGCACACAAGCATCAATAGGTATGAAATAACATTGACTTTTATTTACTTGGTTACTTTAGACCTTATATTGAGTTGGTTGTAGTATTTTTATATATAAATTTTTTTATATAAAATATTTAGTCTACATTTTCATAAAATTAAACATTTGAATTTTTTATTTTATATTTTTTTGATAATTGATTTATTTTTATATGTAATATTTTTACTATTTAAACTTCACTAATGTTCTCTTTTTTTTCTTTTTTAAACTTATTTCAAAAAATATGTATTTTAAAAAATACCACATTAAACATAATAGTAAGAATAAATATTAATAATCAAAAATATAAATTTAAAAATAAGAAGAAATAAACTATTTTTATACTATCACTTCTTTAATAAATAAAAATATTAATTTAATGGAAATAAAATAATTTTTAAATATTATTATTAAAAATTATAAAATAAAATAAAATAAAATTTTGATCCATTATTTTTTCTTTATAAATAACACTTTTAAAAAGAAATAATTTATTTATTGAGAATTTAAATTCTTTGCTATTATATTTTATAAAATATCCAAATATACTCTTAAAATATGAAATATTCTTAATAAACATGCCATTATTTATTATTTTATATTTATATATATATATATATTAATGACCTAATAATTTTTTGTTTTAAACATATTTCTAAAAGATTATTAATTATATCTAATTTATTGCAACACCAAAAGTTAGAATATAAAATGATGTTTTTAATTATATTTACTTCTTTGTACAGTACTTGAAATTACAAAAGTATTGTCTTTTTGAAGAATTCCATGCTTACTTTCATTTAAATAGGTGCTTTTTTAAAATAATTGACAAATAAATGAATCCATTGATGATTGAATATATATATATATATATATATAAAAGAAGTTGTTAAAGCTACACCCCACATTACCATCTCATGATCAATACCATCCATCCATGTCTCCCTTTCCCAACTCCCATGCCTTGTTCTCAATCTCCATTCTTTATTCCCTATCCTCCAAAATTAATCATCACATGGTTTGGGGGTGTGACTTTAACAACATTAAGGTGTGGCTTTAACAACTCCTTATATTTATGTACACATATATAATCACATTTAAATGAGTTACGTAATGTATAGGGAGCATTAAATATATTGCATTGAATGTCGATCAAGCCCGCTTGGAGTCTACCTTATCCACAATTCAAAATCCACAATGCAAGCAATCCATGGAATAAGTATGGCAAGCACAACAATGTTTAATTAGATATATTAGGAAAAACTTGATACAAATATAAACATATATTCACAAATTCCATTGATAAGGTGATCAGAACCAATACCACACAAAACTCCCCATTTCAATCCAAAACATGAGTTATAAAATGAGAAATAGATTGCAAGATGAGAAGCAAAATATAAACCACAGAAACACTCCCAAAGCAGCAACCAAAGGTGCAACCTTTGCACAAGCCCTAATTGACCCACATGAAGAGCGCTTCCCGAAACTCCCAATCCATTCTTGCGGGGTGGGTTACAAGACGGCGGTTGTGGTTGTTGTACACATCCCGCTCCTATTCCCCGAAGCTATGGCTGCGTCGCTTGGCCAGGCTCGAGGGGATATGGGAAACTATTTCGAGGAGGACAACTTGACCTGTTTAGCAAATCTATTGCTGAAGGAAGGCTCTCCAAGCGTAGCTGAAAATTCGCCGGCAGCGAACGACGAACGAGGCGTGTAAACGCAGCTCGGGAAATCAACGGCTTCGGCGCATGAAACACCGCGACGATGACATCGTAGCACACCACCAGGAAGTGGCGACCACGATGCTGCAGCAGCAGCATAGGCCACCCGCTTCTGTGACGAGATCGATGGTAGCGCAGGGATCGATCGAATGGCGCGACAGAGTACGGTGACACGGGTAGTAGAGCCAGCGAGACCTGAGGACGTCATTGAATCGTCGAGGCGGGACCCGATTTTCGGCGAGGGACTTCGTCATTGCTGGCGTGCCCGGGAGCTCCACCCGAAATCCAGCACAGAAGCGTTCTGCGCTGGGTTGGGAATAGCCCCGGCACATCGAACTCGGAGTTTGGGGACCAGATCGCAGTGCCGGTGCCTTTTGCCGGTTCCATCACGCTTTTGATATGGGTGCTTTGACTGCACGCCTCGAACCAGTCGTGCCCACTTTCTGACTGTTTCTGTGCCCTCAAATTCTAGATCTCGAGATATTTTTGCCGTGCATATCTACCGCGCGGATTTGGCTTCGAATCCCCCTCCTCTCTGGACCTGAAACATGCGCTCATTGGCCCAGTTTCTGTGAAGCCACACTGGTGATTGGGATTCAATGGCGCATCACAAGGTGCGCCGTTGCCATGGTGTCACGTAGAATGAATGCAGCGTCACGTTTACAAGTCCAATTTTCCCGTTTCTTCCACCTTCGTGACTGATTTCACCACATGTCAATTTTACGGATCATTTTCAAAGTCTGTATTTTTTTCTTACTTGCCCGTTAATCTGGCTCTTTGAATATAAATTAGTAGTTGAAGTCTCTATCATTGTTTTCAACACAAGGTAAAAAATTAAAAATTGGGATACGACAAGCCGCACCTCTGTTCACCAAACAAACAGAGTGTTTATCAGAGAGAGATTTGTGTCTAATCTAATTACAATGGTGCAGGCTGGCTGTGCGAATCTCGTCTTTCTGAAGGTAATCGAAGGAATTTTACATCATCACAAACTACTTTGGTTTAAGGTCGTCATATTGAGCGAACCTCCAACAACGGGAAGCAAATTGAACTATTCCAACTTTCGTAGCAAATCGGATATTAGTTCATGACTTCTAGCTATTGTCACATCAAACGAGCATCGGAATCTGTGAACTGTTTTGATGGTGATGAATTCCTCCGCACGAGAACTCATCTTTCCCCACGATTTCGAGCCTTCGCATCCAAAAGTAAGTCCCGATCGACTGAATTCGATCCTCTAGAGCTGAAGAAGGGTTTCAGCATCGTTCGCCGAACTGAAATAGCCCACGCTCATCACTTGGTTGCATTAGGACGAGGGTGGGTGAGCCAAAAGATCACTTGCGAGTGGTCTCCAGCTTCAGTAATTTGCCGCTATGGAGTAAGACGCTGTCGGCACGTCCACCACCTTCGACACTTTCGATCCGCCAACATACCAACCCCTCCCCTGACCTGTAGAATTCCACGAGCAATGCCGTCTCCGACACATCACTAGCTTGGAGTAGATAGAACAGATTCCTGGCTCTTGCAGTTCGCTCGCGAGCTTCCAGGAGGCGAAGCAACCAAAGAATTAGAGCGAACTTAGATTCTCTCACCATATGCAGCATCTCTCCCCGCAATTCCAGATTCTTCGCAATTCCTTGCGGCCTGATTGCGTATGAAGAAACTAGGTGCTCCTCGTCTCACATGCACAGGAGCTGCATGCGAGCTCACTCTCTCAGGCTCGTCGCTGAGGGGTGCATGAGTTCTCACTGCCGTAATTCGACCCGGTCTGCGGCAATTTGTGGGCGCTTTTAGCGTGCGCGAAAGGGTAGACTCTATGGTGATACCAGAAATTGGATGGCACAGGAGTACTGTGGAGATTGGACTTGACTTTTGGTCTGTTTGCGCGTGCACGAAAGAGAGAGAGAGACACAACAGTCTGTTTGTGTATGTGATTTCTCAAGTACGCTGAGTGCTTTGCTGTGAATTTAGTTCGCGAGACAGGAGTTAGAGGTGGCATGAATTGGCTATGAATTGGCCATAAATTGCTTCCAGTCTCGAATTTGAGTTTTGAGTGAAGAGGGGAGTGGAGAGTTCGCTTGTAGAAAATAGGAGAGCTTGGCGCATTCAGACTTGCTCGTGTACTGCACCTACACGTCAAAGAGAAACCCTGTCGAAGTAGGATCTGGGCGGGGCACCGCGGTTATCATTACACTGTCTATGCAGCTTGTAGACGGCGAGGAGTCTGATAGAAGTCCATGATTCGAACCTTAGGGAGTTGCCCTGTTGAAGCGTAGGGGAAATCGTGAGCTGAAACAAGCGCAAATCTCAGAAGAAGGGTCTCAAGCGGAGTGGAATTAGGCTGTTATGCTACGAGGTAGAATTTGGAGCACGAGTTGATTGTGCTAAGACCAACTATGTATGATGCAGTCGGCAATTGGAATGAAGTTCGAGCAAGCATGGGTGAATTCGCCGAAAGATCTGAACAGAGTTGTCGAGGATGAGAGTGTGAGAAAGCAGCGAGAGTGAGTGACCCAGGATGCAGGGGATGAACAGGCACCGCATCGAGATGTCTTTGCCATCACTGCACGGAATGCACGCGAGGGGAGTCATTATGGGCAGACGAGCTGCTCCTGCAACCCCCGTGTCCAAGTGGAAGGTATTCAACCATCAGTTGTACGATGCCATACCCTCCACAACGAGCATGGTTGGCGGCAACCAAACAACCGCTTCGGCGCGAAAGCTTGCAGCCTCGTTGTGGAGGGTCGAAGATCTTCCTCTCTCAGCTCATCTTCCTGCGTGTCACAACAGCCCCAATTTGATCCCCTGTTCCTCGCCTTCGCAACGAGGCATCATTGACAGCCCGTTCTCGCAGCCTGACTATGTGCTCACCCCAGAGACCTGCAGGACCCGCAATCCTCACCTCGGAAAGGTTTATTGCAAACCAATGCATCTGCGGCCGTCAATGTGATTCATTGAAGTTTGACTGAGGGATCCCACTGTCTTGATTATAAATTTTTCATTGATATCGTTAGTTTTCCTGCAACAGACCAGCACAAACGGGAGCCTTCAGAGGTTGCTGCAGACGATTAATTTGGAACCTGACGGCTCGACTGCTCACGATTCCATTTCTGTAATGTCCTTTGAGGACTATTTTGTAATTCGGTGAAATAATTAGTTACGCAATCCGATTTAGTGGCCGATTTTGAAATCACTTGCATCTATCTAGCCCTAGTACTCTAGGAACCTCTTACGGGAATGGGAATTTATGGGAGCTCTGAACTTTGAGGGTTGGTTTGGCAAACAGGTTGAGAAGCGGAAACAATTACCTTGTCGTCTATTCGCTAGTCCTCGGAAGGGCGACGGTGAAATCGGGCTTAACGTGACTGGCACCATGTCACAGGAACTTCTGAGAATTTTCAATCAGATACGCCTGCTGGAGGAGCACCACAACTCCAGCCTCCATCTGACGAACGCATTGCAGAGGGAGCTGATGAGAACTCACGCTCGGGTGAGGGAGCTCGAGAAGCCTCACAGGATGGCGCGACGAGAGACACAACGAGAGATTGAAGATCTCAAGAGGAAGATTTCGGACGCAAAGCTAGGCTGGAAAACGAAAGAGAAGGAGAGGATCAAAGATGCGGTGCTGTCTGTGAAGAAGGAATTGGAGGAAGAGCGTCGGGCGAGGCTGAAGCTTCAAAGCGCCAACCGCAGACTAACGAACGAGCTCATGGAGGCCCAAGCGGTGACCTCCAAAGCTCTCCAAGAGTTTGAGAGTGAACGCAAGGCCCGGCTGATCATAGAAGAGGTCTGCAACGAGTTAGCCCAGAAGAGTGAAGATGAGAAGCTGGAGCTGGAAAAAATAAAGCGTGAGACGCAACAAGTACGCGAAGCTCTTGAAGAGGAGCGGTGCATGCTGCAGATGGCTGAGGTCTGGCGGGAGGAGCGTGTTCAGATGAAGCTCGGGGAAGCAAAAGTGGCCTTGGAAGAAAAGAGTGCCGCCCTGAATGTCATGCAGACCAAGCTAGAATCTTTCCTGAGAGCCACGCGAGATGCCAACAGATACGCCACCTTGAGAGATGCCCAAGTTTTGCACAATATCGTCAGCACCTTTCACCCTAACGACTCGAACTCCACCTTTCCTCCAAACCCTTGCATCTCTTCCCTCCATCCCAGGTCCGAATACATGCAAGCTGCCTCTCTTGTAGAAGAGCCAAGCCAGGAGGAACGCAAGCCAGGACTTGATCTGTTTCATTACTCGGAAGGTATACCAGATACAGAATATGCAATTGTTACAACTGTCTAGATTAAGAGGACGAAGATGCAAGATATAAATGAACGGTTAGCTTGTACGGATACCTTAGTGATATAATGTAACTACGGAGAGCTTGAGAGATTCTAACCTTATATCAGGCACGTTGTTCAGCTTGAAGGGCTGCCAAGCATTTCTGCGGCTGCTACTTAAAAAGGAGGCAATCACAATATGTTACACACCATATTTTCAACTGGGATCCTTGAGACTTCAAATATCAGGTAAAGAAAAAAAGACAATGATATGCATTTAATATCAAAAAATATTGAGGTAATATATAGTCAATGAGGTTCTGGGTATTTATTTCAAAAATATAAGAGCAGGATAGTCGATACAGTTGAAACCTGCAGACAGAGATCTTTCTCCGTGAAGTAGGTATGCACAACTGGTAAGGTAGACGGTCAAAATTTGATGAAATTTTCGTTTTTAGGAATCTGACTATGTGCATTGCAGCAAAGTGTTTACATTTATATACCAGTATGTAGGCAGAACCCTATCTCCCGAGTCTACTCAGGCCAGAATCTTGATTAATGGACCCTAAATCTTGACAGAATCTTGATCATGAATGTATATTACTCTTCATAATTCCTCATGCTTCCTCGCGAGGAGACTATCTACTAAGCATAGAGGTTTGTGAATGTGAATTCTGGAAACCGGGGGTTTCTATATTAAGGGACAAATGTTCCCTTCCCCTGAGAGAAATCCTCTCCCAATTCTAACGATTTGCGATGATTGCGGCAAGCAAAGTAACCGAAACTCCTATACCAGATAACCAACGCCGTATCTGCAAGGACCATGGCTGCTGCACATTCCTACTGACCTGTTTGAATGAATTGACTACCTCCATGAACTCCAGAAGCGAAGGTCTTGGTTTATTGACAAGCACTAATGGTGCCTGTCCACCCTCGATAGGAAAATCGACTTTGGGAGTTGAAGGTGCTGGTGGAGGAGCCATTGGCAACTCAATGACGGCTATGTCACTAAGTTCCCCCGCTCCAAAATTGTTAAACGACTGCAGGCACAAAACATTTTGCAAAAGAAAATAAATTTGCAACACGATATCAACATATTTACTTGCAAACAAGGAAATTCATACATGATGTGCCTAAACATAAATGAGAGTAGAGACAAACCTGTACTGCAACACGATATCTAGAAGCAGGTTGGAGCTTCATTGCCTTGTAGGATGTTGAGCCACCCACATGTACCTTTGCCAAAGGACCTCCTTGGCCATCATCCATCATAAGCATATAGCTGCACATGAAGTCAAAATAAGTAACAGCAATAAACTAAAAAGGAACAAGAGCAGGAGACTTAAAATAAATTGCAGCTAGAGATCTACCCACTAAACAAACCTAGTCAAACAATTCTTACATGGGAAATGAAGTTTATAACTGTGTCTTCCATGGATGATTACATGACATTATCCAAAATACACACCCAATCACAAAAACACAATCTCGATGCATTGCTGTTCAAACACAGTAAACATGGTCGACTTCACTCCTCACCTCCTAACTGGATCGCCATTAGTCCGTGTAGGGGACGACCACTTTATGTGCACACTTGTGGGCGTGACTCTACTGAAAGTAGGCGGTGCTGGTGCTCCAGGGGCAGAAGGCAGGGTAGTGGCCTCCGTAACTAAACTTGGAGGAGACATACCTAACAAATTGTGGGCTATCACCCGAAAAGTATACTTCTTTCCAGGCAACAAGTCTGAGACTTCATGTCTGTTACAAAAAAAACATATACATCAGCTTCTCCAGTTTGCTGGTTTAAATCCAACACATACAAATTTGAAACAAAAAAGTAAAAAGTAAAAAAGAGCTGCAACAGTTTACCACTATCGCATCCAAAACCACGAGGAAAAGGCTATTCCAATCCTATTTTTGTGACAAAATTGTTTATAGATAATATGTCCCAGTAGAGCCGTGAACGTCACTGTGATCAGGAGGGTCACCAAGTGAAATACAAGTCAACACACAGGTAGCTAAGAGCTATAAAAGCAGGTCTTAAAGCAAAAGTAGACCCAAAGTAGAAGAGAACAAAAGTATACCGTAGACCGCTTCCATCATAAACTGGATTCCACACAGACGTTTGTAGGACAATAGCTTCTTTCTTGGTCATTTTTTTCTTAGAAGACTTCTTTTGGTTACTAAGAACCTGACTGCTCCGCTCCTTGGGCAACATTCCTTCCCCATCGAATTCCACTTTTAGCATTTCAAGGGTAAACCGAAACACAGGAGAGCCATTGTCTTGTTCTGGAACCTGAAGACAAAAGTTACGGCCGATGTCAGGAATGCAATGAGTGTTGAGTACTAAACCAAAATTCATTCATATGCATCATGGAGCAACTGCAAAAATTCTTAAGCTAATAACAACCAAGCGGCAAGATGACTGACCTCCCATCTTATGGTCAACGACGATGATGTTTCCTCAATGACTACTGGAGGACAAGGAGCACATGGAGCTGCCGGGGACGTCATCATGATAGAAAAAGCACTGAATTCACTCAGCCCTGCGGCATTTCGCGCCTGCATTAATAAAACCATCCGTTCAATAGCGAACTCAACCATTAAAATTGTGATGAAAAGCGGTTTACATATGTCTATGTATCCAAAACTGCAATGAAGAGATAGTCAATATTTTTTAAGGTAAGCAATAAGGACCAAGGATCGAAGGCCCCCAACAGAGCAAATATTCCAAAGCACTTATCAAGCATTAGTTCGTTGAAAGAGAAGACTACGCCCAAACAATAAACGAATTCAACTTTTCTGTCGTAATGGAATACCTGTAATCGAAAAGCATAACTTGTGTGTGGTTGGAGCTTGTTGACAGTATACGCTGTGCTTGGACCACTGTAGGCGTCACACAGAGCTACATTACTACGGGCTCCATTTATAATTAAACCTAGGTCAAAAGGCCGGAATAAAGTGACTTGTCCGTCGACACTCCTTTTGTACTGAACGCCATGCACATCATGCTCATCTTCGCTAGTACCTGAACGTAGTTTTCACGTTAGAGTTGCGGACTCGAAAAGAACCAAGAACGCGTCCAAAAAATTAAATTAACATAGTTTGAAGCCCTCAATAACAGTTTCCTGAGAACGACAATTCAAAACATTGAAAACCCTCACGGTACGGAGGCTGCCAAAGAACATATAAAAACAACCAGAGCCTTACAGGACAGTTGCAAATCCTCCATGAGAACTGACAAAGCATTAAAAATCACCTGCATAACTAGGTGAAGTCCTATTCTTTTGCGAAGACTTTTCGCTTTCCCAGGTGCTGGTACCTCGACTTGAGTCTGAAGACGTACTATGAGATGGGGAGTGTGGTGGACCGTCTGAAAATGGGCTGAAAGAATCACTATGAACCCTCTGGTTCGCTAAGCTTGAAATATCTCCACCTTGGATATCGCAACCACTAGTAGTACTGTCATCACAACCAGATATACATTTTTCTCCATATCCGAGAACCACCATCTGAAGTGAATAGAGCTCTATCGGTGCCCCATTGCTACAGGGTGGAGACCACCTGCGGCGCAAAACATGAAATTTCCGTCAGAACTATGTTAATTTCTCGTGGAAAAAACGTTTCGAAGCGACCGGACTCTATATTCTGGAAATAGCAACATCATTTGATGAAGAGAAGCACAGTTACAGAAACTGACACAGAAATAAGTTGACAAACTCTTCTAGAATTGTGCACAATAAACACATAAGTTACCTCAAAGATATCGAATTTGCGGATGCCTTTCTCGCCGCGACTGGGGGCTCTGGTGCTGCTGGCGGACCAGAGAGCGTCGTCAACACACTTAACCCTGAATTGACCAGACAATTTTTCAGTAAATTGTACGAATACAAAATTATACTCATTCGATTATACAAAAGATGTGTTCAATTTCACTCAAATCGCTAACCATTCAATAATAGGTAATAGCAACTAAATTTTAGGACATAGAAGCATATCAAAATATAACCTTACACAAGTTAAACGTATAATGCTGAAGGAATTAACTTAAAATAGCCAATACGTGCAACATACCGCTATAGGGCCCAGCTCCAAGCTTATTGACTGCCTGGACCTGAAAGCAGTACGAAGCACCTGGTTCGAGCCCACTAATTTTGAACCGGCACTTCTCGGAACGATATACAGCTAGAACCCTGCTTTCTTCATCTTGTACACTTCCTATACTAGTAGCATCCTCTTTCCGAATGATTGCCTAGCCCAAGAAAAGACGAACACCAATGAAGCGAAAGATACAACATAGGAATTAACAACAATGATACCCATAGTTATAAAAATAAAAAATAAAAAATAAAAAAGCGAAATTTATATGCTCTTTGCACCGCCAGTCAAACATTCCACGTTTTGAAAGTCAGAGAAACAAGTAGAGTACCCACTTAAAGTACCAATTATTCACAGATTTACGACTTAATTTCTAATTTGGGCATATACCTAATCTTTAAGATACTGATCCGCTCAGTGCTATCCAATATTTTAAAAAGTAAAAATTCCAGACACTCAAAAAAATGACAAAGCAGATGCATCTCACATCTCTGTAATGCTTCGGTTATAATCGAAGAAATAAGGCTTGGCGCAACTATTTAACCGACACATCGAAAAAGAAGTATAAATACCTCCAAGCGATAGCAAACGATTTGAGATCCGCCGTCATGTACAGGAGGACACCACTCTAATACGATGCTACGGCTCCCAACATCGACTGCGACAGGATCTGATGGTGCCTCAGGTAGACCAGGTAACGTACCAAACCGAGCTGTGGAAGGTGCCAACGAATGTTTCTTAAATATAGCTTCAATCATCCTTCATTTTATAAAATAGATTACCAATATTGAAACTGCAGAATATGGTTCTGATATGAATGTAGTCGAAATTTAGTCCAACGAGAACAATTACAAAAGGTTTGTTTAAGGAGTTCAAACTTCAAGAGGATAGTTCGTCTGATTAATGATCAGAAAGTGATAAGCTGCACTCGTAAAACATAAAGAGTGCCAATTTACGAGATATTTCGTACAAATGCGGGAAAGTTGTGTCAGAGGAGGGTTACCTTCACTACACCACCCACTTTTACCCATCAAATTAACGGCTCGAACGCGCACACCAATGAGTTCACCTGGACATATAACAGCATTCAACAGTAAGCATGTAAATATATACGACAAAACCCAGAGCTAGATTGATACCAACTTCCACTTTGAACTCATACCATGAGTTTGATGGTGAGAAAGAGACGTCATTGTCATGAGCAGTTTAAAAAGTCAAGTAAAACACAAACGTCGTGCAAGATAGATATGACGAGTAAATCTTCATCGTTCAAAGAAAAACAGTTGACTCAACAGTAGGAAGTGCATGTAGTAAAAGGTACCAGGACAAAGTCCAGTCACAGTATAGGTAGTACAGCTTCCATAATACATCACTGCAGTCCAGTTGTTCCTCATAAATCTTTTCATCTCGACCTCGTATCTGTCGGCACATGCAAGCGCACTTATAAGTTACTTGCATCTTTGGAAAATCGCATTTTCAAAGTATGTCTCGAGAACCAGGTAATTCGAATTTTGTAACGACTGAACGCTAAATCCGACCTCAAAGAAAGTCTGTGATTAAGTATGCAAAACATCTTTTATTGGATTACAGTAACATGAATATCGAATAAAAGAAATACGACACACAAAAAATCTCTAAATAAAAACAGGAATATCATGTAATACTGCCGCATGGAATACCAAGGGTTTACGTCAACTGGTTTCAGCTCTGGAAGAGAGCACATGCAGCCCACCTCTAAGCTGGGAGCACTATATCCCTGAATGCAACGAAGAAATCTAACCACAATTTCGTTCATAAGCAAAATGAATTAGCAATAAAAATAAATACTCACGCTGTTATTGGACTTCCACCATCACGTTCAGAAGGGCCCCAGGATATAGTTATGCTTGTGGTACTGCGTTCTCTGATAGAAGGAGGAGCCGGAGGACTCGGGCTAGCAAAATTAGTAAGAAGCTCTCCTGGCCTACTGAACGGTCCTTTCCCTTTCTCATTGTGAGCCATCACTCGAACACGATACACATGTCCGCTTTTTAATCCTTCCATAGTGTAGCTGGTGCAAACATATTACAAACACAAATTATGTGGGAAGGGGTAATTGAAACACTTTAAGATGATTCTTGAAGTTATTTTTGAGCAGCCGAATACTGACACATCATTTCAAGGAAAGTAAAAGATCATTTGTTCTTAACCATCTAAAGAACACTCACAACCAGCTAGAAAACATAACTTACCACAGTTGCCGTCCAGTGTATGCAGTGACGAAAGGACCGCTATCACCTGAAAAGAGGACAGAACATCTAAATAAGTAAATGAATTAAGAAACCATAGAGAGCGAGAGAGAGAGAGAGAGAGCGAAGGAGGTGGAGGAACTTATTGATTTTAAAAGCTTTAAAATGAGGAAGAAGAAGAGAAGGTAGATATAAATACGCAACAGATGAAGAAAATGAAAAATAGTCTAATTCAGGCCTAAACCCAAATATCTTACCGTCATCATGTTCGAGTGTATATTCGGTGATGGGAGACCCAGAATTACTAGGCTCCTACAAAAGTGTGATGAAAAATCTTAAGAAACAAATAAGAAACAAAACCTAAGAAACAAACATGAAATCGATAATACTCCCCTACCAAGAAGGCGGGCACAGGGATGCATGCTGACATCACCGACTTGTGCGCAAAAAAGAAAAACTGATGGTAAGAAAACTTCTACAACATGTAATTATGCATGTAGCAAAAAAATAGAAACACAACAAGGACAACTTTAGTCGAAAAGAACATCAATTGTTGCAGCACTAAACAGAACAATTTTGAAAAACAACCCAAACCATCTGAACAATAGTAAATCTCATCTATGCAGGGTCCAAACACATAGAGTGAACCTGCCACTCGACAATCATTGAGGTAGCGGTTGCAGTCACAAGTGTAGGAGCTTCCGGCGCTGCTGGGACTGATGCGGCAGTTTGAAAAGAATACACTTTACTGAATTCACTGTGCCCAACAGAATTAACAGCCTGCACCACAGAAGTCACAACCGTCAGAAATTCATGTGTAAAAATGAGAAGTTGATCAATATCAAAGCCTGGATGACTCATAGAGAGGTACGTGTATCTCCAGAAAAGCAAACGAGATAAATCTAACAGCTCTACCAGATAAACGAGTTGCTGTACAATATGAGAGGTTTCAGCAGGTTGAGGCACAGAAGAACGAATGCATAGCGTAAAAGCACCAACTCACCAATACTCGAAATTTATACAATGTTCCTGGGAGCAACCGGGTGACCTTCACAGCTTCCTCCTTTCCATTGTATACACCCACAAATTCCTAATGAAAACGGTTCCACTTATTAAGGACTCGCTGACTATTTTTCTTAGGTATTACGTAGCCAGCCAAAGTCATAGGATTAAGAACGCAACTGCAAATTAACAGACACACCTACCTCTAATATTCAAATACAGGCTTAGTACAGATCATACTTGACTCCTACATGCACATTACAGAGACAGAAGCTTACATCCAAAGTGCTAGGATAAACACCATTAACAGAATCTTTCCCAGGCGGTGGATTCATCTCTACAACATATTCCAAAGGTAGCCCTCCAGTTTCTGTAGGCTTAGTCCATTTCACCTGATATCATTGCACATGTTCGCAAAATCAGGACAAACCTCCCTCAGAACTGGTTAACATGTCACGACATACAGGTAGCAGCACGCAAAGGGGAACCATGCTGCTGCATTAAATAGATATCCCGAAAACTATGGCCAGAATTCATCAAGGCGACTTGGAGTGGCTAGAAAACATAGAGCTCTTCAGTGAACAAACAGGTACCTTCAACGATGTGCGAGCTCTATTAACCAATACGAGCTCTAGCGGTGGAGAGGGTGCGGCTGGTTTTGTACAAAATATGGCAATATCCGATAACGAAGGCGAGGGCAATGTTGCAGAGGGCGAAACAACGATGGGAGTAACTCGTAGACGGAAGGAGTAAGAAGTTCCAGGTTTCAAGTCGTACACCTGCAACACAATCAATGTAAGTTCAGTCAATAACTAGCTCAAAAGAGCAAAAAATACGGTCAAAAAGTATGAAGTTCAAGATATATACAAATATGAAAATAGGTTCAATATTTCTATCACTCCGACCCTACATTACACTAATGCAGATTTGTAAATAAGAATAGATGACACAGATCTCAAATTCACGCACACAACATTTGACATTGAATGACGTAGCTAATTACAATGGAACCCTGCCGTGAAGCCGGCAGTAACAAAAACACATACGAGATGAGCATTTGTGACCTTGCCCAATACCCAAGACCAGCATACTTTCACTTACCCCAAGTACGAGAACGAAATCTATTATCTGAAGAACATTCTACAAGATCCTAACCTTTAAAAATTCTATAAATATGTGACATTTTACTTCACATTCACTCCATCAAGATTTAGATCAAGGCGAATAACCTACTTCATTGCACAGTTTAGCAGACTAAGTTCTATCTAAACGACGCAATCCGTGCCACACCTATTCTGTTACACAAAGAATTGGCGGCAACTCAGAAAATATTTAGTGGTCTGAAATTTGGTTAACAATAAAAATTGCGGGGATCACGCACCTTGTAACTTCTGTCGTCACCGCAAAATATAGACGTCCACTTGTGTCCGAGCTCCCTGCCAGTGGCAATAGAATTTCGGTCTTTCTTTTGCACCATCGAAACTTCACTGCACGCGTAATCTAGGTAATATGAGACCTCTTCCGGGCATCCTACCCACGACAGTGCAATGCTTCTTTCATCAGCTGATGTAACCACGGGAGGCAAAGGCCGGGGTCTACATTTCACTCGTAATTCTCCGTCTTCATTTACCGTGCTGGACTCGATGCGGCCGCAATCTTGGTCAGCGACTTCGCTGGCTACACTGCCAATATCAATGGATCTTTCATCCAGGGCTTTCGATTGGGCATCGCCACACATCGATCCGTTGACTTCCGGCACTAAGTTCGAATCCTCGGCGCCCGGTTCCACAGACTGAACTACCTCGCAGGCCGGGCGCTCCACATTCATAGCGCTTTCCCGACCTGATCTAAGAGATCTGTCAATGATTGCCCCGGATGCATTTAGCGACAAAGCGTCCGTCCTCACCATCTTATCAGCACTCCGGCCCTTTCCCTCTGCCTCCTGCTCTCCTGGGCTCATCTCTATCTCCTCAACTCCTCCAGACCTATTCATTCCACTACCGCGACAAGCTCCTCCATTCTCACTCTCACTCATCGCATTCTCCCTCTCCATATCCACTTCACCCCGCTCATCATCCTCTTCCCGCGCTCCTCCGTTACTCCTGGGAGTCTCCCCTCGCCCTCCCTTATCACTCTCTCCCACGTCCTCTTCTCTCTCCCTCCCGATCTCAATCCCATTCCCATTCCCATTCCCATCACTCACCCCGCCATTACCATTACTCCGCCCCGCATCCAACACCGCGGGAATACTCCCGAAACAGAACACACCACCACCAATCGCAATCACATTGCTCTCCCGTCGCGCCTCTTCCACCCCCTCTTCCTCCGGCAGCTGATTCATCCTCTTCACCCGCCGCTCCACACGCGCACCGCTCAACAACCGCAACCGCTCCTCCTCTTCCTCCTCCTCGTCTCATCCACTCCCTTCTGCCATAGACTAATGACCACCATAACAGCCCGTCGATCTCACTTTCGGAACACTCCACACTCCCCTCTTCCTCCTCCTCCTCCTTGCTCTTTCGCCCGCTCTCTCTCTCGTTTTGTCCTCCAAGAAACCTTAGGGTTGTTCCGATAGATAGCACACTAAAACATCAACTCTCTCACCTCTCCTAGCGATTGGAATTGCGATCCACCCCCTCTCTCTCTCAACTCAAGTATGTAATGCGACCTCGACGGGGTTCGTTGGAAGAATCGACAGCTGCCTGGCGATGGCGCCTAACTTAAGCGGAAGGCAGCTGCACAGAAAGAAAGAACGAAAGAAAGAACGAACGAACGAAAGAAAGAAAGAACGAACGAACGAAAGAAAGAAAGAACGAACGAACGAAAGAAAGAGAGACGAATGAGGACTCCAGTGTGGAGGGCGGGCAGGAGGACAGACAGACTTAGAGCGAGAAAGTACATATTCCGAGAAAACTGAATATTATGATTGAGTGTGGCTTAATTTAGACTTCTGAGAACAGGTGCTCATTGGTTCACGGCAGGAGACAAGGCGGGGAGGGGATTTGAGACCTTGTGATGAGGTGGCAGCTGGCTACCTACTCCGATCTGAGCTGGCACAGAGGGTCCAACGTGGACCTGAGCGATCCTCAGGACTCGGGATGGTCTAAGCCAGGCTGGGGTTCGCGCGGCTATGGGTTCTCCAAATCGTCCGCTGCACGTCCACCGTGCCTGCAGGAAACTTCGACATGGACCTCACCAAAAGAAGCGCCGGTTACCGACCCCCGAATGAGCACAGTCCAATTATGAACGCCTTTAGGGTTACTTTGCTTGCACCGTCCTCGGTAGGCCTCTCCCTCTCTCTCTCTCTCCCTTCATTCCATACACCACACTAATTTATTTTTAAGTTCTACTACCAACTTCAGGTAATCATATTCAGTGTGATTATTTCTACAAATGTAAAAATAAAATGCAAAATCAACGGTCAGTTGAAAGTTGAATACAAACCAGTATGGGAAAGAGGAGAAAACTTACATCTACGAGCAACCTTTAAATTTAAAAGTCAACAACATTGCCACGTGTATTGTGTGAATGTCAAAAAGCCCATTCATTAAAATGGGGAAGAAAAATTGCTTGTCAACAGTACTACACAGAGTCAATTAAAATATTCTGGACAGCTAATGGACTCATACAACCATTAGAAAAAAAAAAGACAAAAAAGCGGTAGCCATATTGTCCCACCAATAATATTAATTTTCCTGAAAATTGGAAAATAAATATCCACAAGGATAAGGAACGTATGAACTTCAGTTAACGAATGAATGATAGATAGTGAGATGGGGTAGGGCATGGATATGGCAGGACCCCAGCCAAGCCAAGCAATAAGCACACGCTCAAACTTGCTTGCCAGTCGCTCTGCACCCAATTCAAACCCCTCGTCTTTTTGTGCTTTCCCCGTTTAGGGGTGGGAATGTTTTACAAATGCAAAATAATCTAAATCCATTGTTCATTCATTTGTGGGCGATTCATCTCGCTCATTAGAATGAGAATAGTGATGGGACCCTCCACGTGTTCCTTAATGTCTCTAGACAATACAGCCTTTTAAATGGGGTAAAACGGCAGTCAGCACATGCGAATGCATGAGCGCAACAGTAGTGAGCCAAAAAAGTGACGCTCTGATCAGTATTTGAACTTGGCAATCAAAACCTACTACTACTTTTGCGTTTATCTTTTTTCTTTTTCCTGGTCTTTCTTTTTGTATGCTGGCCACCACAGACGGATAATATGAGCTCTGCCATTGAATATTATATTACATTCTGTGACTGGTAGATCCCACTGAGTCCATCCTTCTTATTTGAGTCACAGCTTGAAGTGGTGCAGGAATTTACCTCAAAAAGAAACCTAATCCAATCGAACCTTGGGATATATTTGCAAGGCTTCATTCATCATCTGCTTCCATGTTTTCCCCAATTACTTATAGCTTTTTCAAATCTCTAATCTTCCAAGAGAGCCTGCGTGGATTCAATCTTCATTCATCCCTTTACAAAATGACTTACTTTCAATACTTCACCGTACCTACATTATTAAAAGGTTAAATACGAAGAGAATATAAATTAGGGTTTTCTTTGTAGTTGATTATCCAGAAGGTGGAATATTGGGGCGGTCAAAGTTAACTCTTTCATGAAATGAGAACGTCAGCCAAGAGACGTCAATCTTCTAAACGACATCGGCGGTGCCAATTTACGCCAGGACAGAAGAAGTATTTTTCAAAAGGAAATAAAGACAATGAAAAAAGAAAAAGGCAACAGGAAGCTTCATGAACCACGGCACGGGGCCAATGAGACCGACCTATTGACGATTTCCCCGCAAAACCCGTTATCTCGGATCCGATTACTATTTACGAAATCTACCTAATTTCAGACAATTGGTAGATATATAGGTAAATGCTTACGAGGACAAGCGGCGTGAGTTGGCCTTTTCTGCTCACTGTGGGACCTATAACCGTGTGACGCCCGTTGCCCAGTCCTCAAACTCCACGTTTGAAATGATTCAGCACATGTTTAGCATCCTTTCCATATACATACGGTGTAGAAAATACCATTCAAGGTACTATATGCGGTTTATATATTTATTATACACATGAGGATTTCGTGTTATTTTAGGACGTCTTGTCGAAGTTTACTTTTGTGGGTCCACGTGTTCTACTTTCTCGTATAATTTTTTTCATTCCAGTTTTAGGTGCTTCTGGGTCTTTATTGTTTCTTTCAGAAACAGATGGTTCCTTTAATTAGAAAATTTTAAGTTTGAGAACTCAAAAATGCAAATGTGGGTGTTACTGTAGTAGTGTGGAAAAGTGGGTATTTAGAATCATTAGAATTGGGTTCGAACAAAGCATATTGGACTTCACATCTGTTAAGACTTGTGAGTAGAGTGTAATGAACGGATTGGATATTTTCAGACACGAAGTACTTGGCTGATAACAATTGGACCCTTCCACTAGAAATTTTCTTCCCTATCCATCCTAATGAAAGCATTTGTTCTGATTGTCTTAAATACTACCACTCAGTTGCTTAGATTCAAAACCCTCCTCACTTAATATAACCAACAAATATTTTGCCTTAACAAAAAATTGGCAAACTAGAATTCACAAACAAATTAAACGTCAAGAATTTCTAATATCAAAGTTTTTTTTTTTTTTTTTTTTTTTTTTTGTTATCAAGTTGATATTACTGTGTGACAAAAAAATAAAATCACTACTGATTTTTAAAAATAAAAAGTACTTGACTTTTGATGTCCAGATACTGTTACTTTAGACATTTGCTTAATTATTTGTAAACATTTTGCCTATATCTTTGAGAGAAAACCATTGCAATGATCAATGAGTATTTTTGTTCTAAAGTAAGAATATGAGATACTTTTGCATAGAAATTATATAAAAATAGGAAGATATACAGATAAAATTGATATGTTTATTGGAATCACATTATCCACCATTGTGAAATGAAGGTTAGTCTTGTATTTGATTAATTTTGTCCAAGTCCATCAATGTCATGAAAAGATAATTATCTTTTATGCAATATTTCATGACATATTTTTTTTTTTGGAAGAGCTGTAGAATACATATTGAATTTTGGAAATTACAGGTGTCAATCTTATTCCAAAGATCACAACTTGTGGGCTGACAATATCTTAATTGTGCCATTTTTAATAAAGACCTACAAGCATCTCATAAAATGTTATAGTTAGAGTACATCTTTGAAGTTTCATTATTTTGTATTATGATGTGTATGCTGCAGTCATTAAATTTTTATCCCTACAACATGATTCATCCAAGTGTTATGACTTCAATAAATGAAGAAAGAAATAATCATCTCAAGACTAAAATGAAGTTTAGCATTCATCTTATTTTATTTTTGTTGGTTAACTAGCATGGATTTTATGATTCCTAAATATTTCTTGATTTTGACTGTTGTAACAGCTTTGTACAAAAGCCTCAAAGTTAAGTAAAAAATAAAAAAGAAGGAAAAGAGAAAGATAAACCCATGACTCTTTGATTACAGCAACAATAATGCCATTGGGGGACAAACCACAAAAGCTCAGTTGAATTTTTTTATAATCAATCTTTTATCATTTTTACATTTTCATTAAATAATTCTTGCTATTTTATTCACTTTTATAAAGCAAAAATACTTACCCTGAATAAAAACAATGAGAACAATCATCTTGCATCAAAAGAATTCACATTTACCCAATGAAAAGGAACTCAAACAAAGAATGTTTCTCTTCATCATAGTCCCAAATGTTTTGTGTCCAAATGAAGGAGGTGGGGGCAAAGTTAAAAATAAACCTCCTTCACCAAATCATTTTCACTCTACTTCCTATTGAATTGAATTGAATGTAAACAAAACTAGCAAGTTGTTTTCATACTTGCCATCTACTGGGCCTTGTAAGGAGAAAAATAGTGTGGATGTGACATCTTCTTTGACACCAAGCACATGGGGTGTGGACAAAGGTTACGAAGTATTGCAAAAGAAAGACAAGAATAAAATTGACCATCTATTCATGTATTGTCTATCTATCATGTATTCATATATTCTCCTTCAAGGATATGATCCATGTGGATTATTCAAGCATGCCAAAAGAACACTCAATAGATGGAAGGTGATGTGGTTTTTGAGAAGAGTGGAGCCGTGAAATAGAATGTGGGAGTCATCTTGTGTGATATACAAGATGGGAGGCAAAGAGAGTTCAATGTACTTGTGTGATGGATTTGGTGTTGGACATGAGACTTATGGTGCCCATTTCCGCCATTTTGAGAATGTTTTCAAATACTCAAGTTTTACTAAAATATAATGTGTACATAATAAGCTTAAATGCTAAAGTTTTATTGAGTGTCATATGTATCTTTTTGAAAATACATTTATTATTTTTGATTTTAATGGTATACTTAAGATAAAAGTTTGAAACATGGAAAAAGGATATTTTTAGTTTTTTAAAATTAAATATTCCTATTGATATTCATTTTTTTGCATTGGTATAAAAAGCAGGCCATCTTTATTTTATTTTATTTTATTTATTTCTTCATGTTAGTTCAATATTTGCAAAACCATTATAATGTTAGAGTAAGTGATTTTTTATGTATTATATTTTAAACATTCTATAAGCCCTTCAAAAGCTATCAAACAGTATGTGTGAGATTAATAGAGTGTGAATTTGATCTAAATTATCCTATTTCAATGTGACATTGTTAACTGGTATTTTATTATGCCAATTTTTTTTATTTATTTAAAATTTTATCTATTTTCTTTATTTCAGTGCTAAAAACTGTAATTTGAGATGAGGTTTCTGGAACTTGTTTCTAGAAAGCTTGAGTATTCTGTAGTTGAACTTATGATGTTTTGATAAATGATTGATGCAGCAAGTCATATGGCATGGTAAAGAGAGCAAGATTATTATTATTATTATTATTATATATATATATATATATATATATATATTTTTGATTTGATTTTTTTACAAAAGAAAAACCTTAAGATTTTATGTTAGTTTTACATGGCATGGTGATATGTCAGCAATGTAAGCAACTGACATGTTTTCATATCAAAACATAGAAAAATGAAAAAGTTTTATGAAATTTGTTTGCCATTCATGAAAGTAGTTTGATTGTTAAGGCAAAGTAACAATTCCTCACAAAAAAAAAAAACAACACCATGAGTAGAAAATTATTTCTTCCACACAGAACATAATACTACATGTATGTAAATGTATGTAAATGTATGTATATGTATTGGAGAATTCTGACTATCCAATTGTTCTTAAAGTTTCTGTGTCATGAAATAGTAATTCCCAACTTCTGTACTACTACTACTACGACTATTATTATTATTATTATTATTATTATAAAAAATAGTAGTAGTTTATGTTTGTCTTCATCCTTCCCATGAAGCATGACAGCTTGCTCCCCACACACCACAATTGCAAGAAAACAAAGATTGAGATAAAATATGATTCCCATCAGAATGCATGGTTTTTTTTTTTTTTTTTTTTTTTTTTTTCATTTCAGTTATTTATCAGTTTATTTAAAATTAAATAAATAGATAGAAAAATAATTAAAAATAATAAATGTAATGGAATAATAATGTCATAAGATGTCAATGTTTCTCCAATGTATTTTGGTATGAGGCATGTCCCATGTGGGCCAGCAATTATAAGATAGGACCACCATGTGCTGTGCCACTAGATCTTTCACACTGTTCCTATGTTAAGATGTTGCTTGTATAGACGATCTCACCCATAGTTCAATCAAGCCATTTGTGTTCCACTTGAGAATCCAGTGACTTTGAACTGGGCCTCTAGTGGGTCAGGAGTATTTGGGGATCTATTGTAACTGGAAAGGAAGAGCAAGAGAGAGAGCGAGAGAGAACCTTTTACCCAGTCTCATGACAGAAAACACAAAAAAACCCCACTTGTCTGCCAGCTTTTGTGTCTCTAAAGCCACACAAGCTTTGCAAGTTATGAGTGACAGGGTTTGGAGGTCAAGTAAGTTAAGTGCAGGTGGGCAAAAGGGAGTGTTGTGTGAGTTTTGACCTGGCAGGACTTCGACATTCCTCTTTTTCAACGTGGCCTCTTGGATGCAACACTAAACTTAATCTACTTTGAGTTGCAGACAGTGCTGGAGAATCAAAACTCAACTTGATGGCAATGCAGTCAATTTAGTAGTTTTCTGACACTAATCTCATGCAATAATGTCTTAAGAAATATATAAATATATATATATATATATATAGAAGCAAGTACTGGATTAATAAACACTTGCGTGAACATACTCATATACATGAGAAATAAACAGGTATCCAGTATCTAGAATGTTATAATTCATTACAATTGTCTGGGATCAATCCTGCAGAAATTCCTGAAAGTTCATTCAAACTGGAAGGTCCAGCCCACAGTTGTGTTCAAATTGAACGTGAATCATGGCCGGCATATCCATTCAACAATCCAGATTAGCTGGAACTATTTTACTTTGACTTGGTCTGAGATATTGCACTTTTTAATAAATACCCAAAGATTACACTCGGTCTAGAAATTTATTCAATTGATCTCTTGAAATGTCAGTCATATTTCCTAATCAATGATTTAAAACATTAAAAAAGTGTTGTGTCGATGTGATTCTAGACTGGCAGATAGAATTGGTGTATGAACTTCACCAACTGCCCAGATCATGTTCCCTTGGGCTTCCATGTCCTTTTCTGTTGGAGCATCAATCTCTTCAAGTACAAATGTATCTTTTGACGTGCTCCTGATTCTCGGTTGGACAAATATGTTGCTTGGAGCTTTGGTTGTCCTTCGAGTTTTATTTACCGCAAGGATCCAGGACATGAGCAGCCAGTAACATCATGTCATTAGGTGTCAACAAAATGACAAGGTGAGTAATGCTGCTACAGAGAGTTGTGAAGCCCAGCGACTAAGAATTCACAAGCCAACTTTGCATCATGAACTATAATCATCAATTCCCTGAAAAGCACGAAAATACAATCAGACAATACCAGAGTCTGCTGTACCAACTTCATACATTCTAACCTACCTTATACTTTTAAGTAGTATCACTTTGCCAACTTAAAATGGAAACTGTGCATCAACCAACATTTTGTGGAAGTATTGAACGTATACCTTCTCCAGTCGGAGCATAATTTGCAGGCCATTTCAGATCATCCGCGAGTTCATAATATGGGTCTCCAGATCGAGTTGCGTTCTGCAGATCGTCCACACTGTTCACAGAAGCCTGCCAAAGGTGGTCATCACAGGTATTGAAGATCCATGGCAATAGCTTAGGTTTTTTAATGAAATGTTTATGAAGGTAGCCAGAAACTATCCTCTCTAAAAAGTTGTGTTTTAACACCTGGAAGAGATCCAGAATCACCTCCTGCCAACTCTAACGGAGATCGATTGTTCCAAAGACACGTTGTAAAGTCTATCAATTGCAGCCGATTCTTTCAAAGTTGAGTTTCAAGAGTAGACTGCACTTAAAAGAAAAGTTTCTCTGTATTGTGGTTGGAAATTGTCACCTGAGATCGAACAATAGAGCTGGCTCAAACTTCAGTGATCAGACTAAGCTATTGAGGTAGTCCAAGCTTGTGAGTGAGATTACTGACCAAGAAAACAGACTGAACAGAACGTTCGAAGCAGAAGAGTTCCAAACAGAGACGCTCGAGAAGCTTGACGAACATGCGGATCATAACAAATCTGCAATTTCACGAGGCTACCCTTTGGGGTTAAATGATAAGTGCAGATACCATCACGCAGCATGCGAAAATGAGAAGGGTTGAAAGGGGTTGCTGGTAGATAGTATAGACGTTCTGCAAGGATTACCAATTATTTTTTCTCTGGCACACGACGGTGTTTCCTTTCCTTCAACAGCAGATGTCAGTCGACACTTGGTCGACGCATGAAAGTCGAGAAAAACATGATTATGTACGCTTTGAAGGATTTCACACCCGAAACGGCAGAAAAATATATGAGACATGACAAGTGGAAGGCTAGTATCGGCACTCCCAACCAAGGATTCGTCTCAACTCATGTAGGCGCAATTATTCTTGGTAATTGAGGGGAATGGCTGATTTGGATTAAAATTATGCACCCTGTCGAGAGCACTACGTTCGACACAACGAATACTATGTAATCCTGTGTCATTCAAATTGATTACATGTTTCTGGGATGTGGCGGAAGATGCATTCTGACGCCTACAGACTTTGAACCGCGACACTATGAACGACTAACTGCTTCAAATTTTTTGTGGCGCAGGGATAGGCATCCAAAATCGATACAGATGCAGGACACTGAACAGTCTGCCGATACCTGCCTTTCCATAGACACGACCTCGCGCGTGAAATTGCAAGATGTCAACCTAAGAACATTAAAAAAAAAGCATAAAAATGTAAACCAAAAAGTTGTGCGAAGAGGAGTAAATTGCACAGCAACTCTAGCACTTCCCCCATGATCATCGAATTTCTAAAACTCTAATCTTTCTCCATGGCTCTTCATGCTTACCGTTGTGGAACCTGAGATGAGCATACACAAGCATAGGGGGATGCATTGGTCCTTCGTGAAGCATCACAAACGTCCTCCTCGGTGGATACCATACTGCAACTCACAATGTCCAGACGCTTGTCCCAGTGGGATTCCGGTCCTTAAAAAAAAACTCCATCAACTGATTCAGCTCCACCCCAACTCTGCCGTCCGAAGTTTGTGCCCTGAAACCTCGTCTTCAATGACACTCCCGCTGTGGTTCTCTGTTCTTAGCCTTGTAGTGTGATCAAATAACCAGAGTAGAAACTGACACGCTGTTAACGCAAACTCTCATAAAATCACAACCTCTCCTGCTCACCTACCAAAGAAGGTGTGCACAACACAGACTGACAAGCAAGAACTTGGTTCATTACCAAGAATAGTTGCACAGGAAGTCGCTAAGTTGTGTATGCCTGAAAATTGATATCACAGCTTCCGCACAAACTTCTACATGCACATCCAGACTCTTTTGTGCTTTGCCAAATGTTCCTCAAACCAGACCTCTGCATGATTACTATTCAATGTATTATCATGCATTTGGTTAAATTCGGGCACAATGTCCTGATCATAAGGCAGCAACGAGTAAAACCCCGTTCCGCATATTTATTCTTAGAGTTAGGGAAAGCAGCAACACTCACAGACCCTAATGTGAGTGGTAATTAAGGTGCTTGACACACTCAAGGTTGTAGGTCCAAACCCTTGTACAAAGTTTATGATTCTTCCTTTGCAAACTGAATATATATGTGCTGTACCGTTTTGAGATTAAGTGTCCACCTGGGTTCATCACCATCAGACTTAAGAACCACCAAATTAAACAAACCCATCAAATTGTTTTTAGTAACCAGTACGAATATTTGATCGGAATAAACATCTACAACGTATATTCCTCCCCATTGGACATCCCTATGGAAGGAGTCTTTATTGCCGAGTCTTACGGCGTTCAAAAACAAAACTAGTGCTGGTCACCAGAACCTTTTAACTTGGGTTGCTGAAAGGTGGGGAGGGTCTGCTTTCAATGTCATCAGCCATGTCACCATCTAGTCAGCATGTGTCGGAAGCACTTTTTACTCCGTCGTCCTTCAAAGAAATTCGTGCAAGAAATGTTCTATTAGCATATAACGAATTGAATGGAGGCTTCTCCTTTTTCTATGGTGTTCGTGATGTTTTCTCTATGAAAAACCTTTCTTCTGTTGTGTACATTTAGTGAATGGGGCTGGCTGTGAAGACTTCGTTGCTGGCGTGAGGAGCCGTTATGGTGTTGATCTGGTAGTGTGATGGGGTTGGGGAGAGCAGGGCAGTAGAACGAAGTGAAGCACTCTGTTTAGGGTTTTGGTTTGTGGGTTCATCTTCTGTCATGCACTTGAGAGAGCAGAGGGTAGTGTAGGTTTTGGATGGGGAAGGCGGGGGAGTAGAGAGAGGGATAGCCTACGAGATTTTGATATTGGGTAGGATCAGGAAGGCACTAGTTTTTATCACCATGTTGCCGACAGTGAATCGGGGCCGCGCCTCTAGCGGTGGCTACCGAAATAATTCTGTTCTACCTCAGTATTTGCGACGAATTGTTAAGGTACATGGTTAACTACAAGATTTCTCAAAGAAAGTGGCTTCGCACTCTGCTGATCGTGGTTGATCTCATGGATAATAAATACTGGCAAGTTAGAACTTCATGAAATTGTCGTTTCTTGGTTATGGGCAGCTTCTGGCAGGCAACATGGTTGTGTGATGTAAATTCTAGAGACAATAATTTAACATTTTGGAGTCGAGGTTAGGCCCGTTCAGATATACCAAGCGAATCATATATACAGTGGTGAGATCTTTGTATATTTCAGTTTATCCTGACTATTTAGTCCATGGTTTCAAGAGGTTGGAGTTTGAAGGTGATGTTGATGCTAGACTGTGATGGCCTATGGATGTCATTTACCATTTTGAAATTAGGAGTTTCACTTTTAGTGTGCTTAAAATGAAATCGTATGTTGAAGCCGAGTGCTTACCAAAGATTCGAGGACGATCTTCTATTGCATTGTGTAAATTTAGGTTGTCCTCTTAGGTTACCCTTGTGGACCATGGCGAATGTCATGGAATTTACTAGTTTGAGGGAATCCAGTCGCAACCTATATTTTCTAGAATATTTTTTTGCATTTGAAATACTGTTAACAAGTAAGCCAATTGATTCAGCTGAATTTGTTCAAAGGCACAACCTGAATCAGAAGACCAATTCCAAATGCGGTGAATGGTTTAGGGTTTCCTGCCTCTGTGTTTCACCGAGGGTTGAAAAGTTTCATCATCTGAAAGTGTTGGAATTGATTGGTGTTGTGAATGATTTTCAGTATCAACAAATGGACATGGAGTACACCTTCTGGCAAATGCGTCACCTTTGCACGTCACCGAAAGTTGTGTAAGTGTTTTGTAAGCTGTGGAACTTTTGGAGATGATGCACGCCTGCCCATCTTGACATGTATCTAGGGTCGTGAAGTGCCGCGTTCCTTATTCTCAAATATCTCAACATTCATGAAAGTGGCTTATTTCTAGAAAGGCAGTATATGGTATCACATTTCTGGTTTTGATGCATTGTCTGCCCCAATGTCTGCAGGTACCAACAAACAAAGTATCACAAACGTAGGTTTTCAACAACATTCTTGCTTTCTCTTGTCCTTCTATTTTGTATTTCATATGGGAATCCATGTCAAATAATGTGTTATATAATTATTGATAAGCCATGGGAGGCTTTTTGGTGTTTCGTTTTCTATAAATGAACTGATTGCAGAACCGACATTAAATATACATCTAAAATGCTTCTTTTTTTGCAGTTAGTCATGTTACAATAATTCTATTTCTGGATGCATTTCATGGAATCAATAGTGGATATATTTGCAACTTCTGATTTCAAGGGCATGAGCAGTATAAATCTTTGCTGTAGGTAACATTGATAGTAAATTATGCAGTTTTCAGTATGGCATTAGTTTCAGACCATGTGATTTCTATTCTCTGGAGGAAAACTTTGATATGGCAGTTAAAGCATACCTGTATTGTTGTTTGTAGAGACGAAAAATCAATGGGCACGAGATGATCCAGCTTTTACGGTTATATGCGGTATTTTGTTGGCAGTGGCTGTTTCATCATTTTGTGCAGCGTATGTTACTTATTCGGACTCTTGTAAATAATTCTGTTGGTCTCTCTCTCTCTCTCTCTCTCTCTCTCTCTCTCTCTCTCTCTCTCTCTCTCTCTCTCTCTCTCTCTCTCTCTCTCTCTCTCTCTCTCTCTCTCTCTCTCTCTCTCTCTCTCACTTTGTGTGTGTCTTGCAACAACAACAGCCCAAAAACAAAAAAAACAAAAATGGATAAGTTACAAAATTAGTGCCAGTGAAAACTCGTTAAGTGAGCTTGTATCTGTTCATAAGAGTAATGTCTGGGCAAGCGCCTTGAAGCGGAATGTTGGATTTATGCTAGTAAGTCGTATAATTTTCCTGATAGAAAAAGGTTCTCACTCCTAACATCTATAGGCCTTCCTAGTAGCATCTGGACAGAATTATGAATTCAATACGCTCTCCTGACTAGCTTTAATTAATTAATTAATTAATTATTTATTTATGTATTTTTATTTATTTACTTTTCCAGGTATGGGCACAGCGTAGCTCAAGCAATCTTTACTGTCGCATCTGTGGTTATCCTGCATTTTTTACTAGCTGGAATTTCCTTAGCCACTATCTGCTGGTGAGCTTTCGTTGAGTTTGTATTCAAAGTTGCAAACAAATTGGTCTTATGTTACGTGTAAGTGCCGCCATATTATGCATTGCCTAAGGAAATTGTGTATTAGAATCATGTTAACTTGCAATCATAATGTTTGTGCTGTTCTATGCTTCTACTTTTTGTTTAATCTTTATACACGAATCGCATCGGAATGAAGACAAAACAGGAATTGAGTTTATGTTGAGTTGGAGAAACCACGACATGTGCTTGCACCATATTTTGAAGAGGAAATTGAAGAAATTTTTCTTTTTCTGATTCTCGTATTTTTGTCTCGTATTTTATTGTCTCTTGAGGTCCTGTGATATCTTTAGGTAGAAGATCTGAGTCGCATCACTTTTGTCTTTGACGTGTGGTCAGAGCTGCTATTAAAGCATTTCCTTTTCCTTACGCATTATAGTTAGAGAAAAGTTGATAACTCACCAAATAATCTAGTGTTGCCTGATGCTGGCAGGTTCCTATCTAATCATTATCTTCGGGAAGAGATTGCTGCACATACACATGTAGTAGAACAACGCGTTGAATGGTATGGTACAGGGTCGTTGCCTAGAATTGGTCAAAGTTTTCAGTAAGTGATGTGTGGTGCATAACTTAATGGTGGACTTTCAATTTGCCAACTAGTTCTTGATTTGAGGGATAGATTTCTAATACAGGTCCTCACTTGTGAAGAACAGAGTAGAGAGCCTTTTTCATCGTGGCTTGTTAAGAACTTGCGTAATCCTTTAACTACGAAGTGACTCGATTTATAATGATTTCGTTTTGTTCTGGAACTCTTCGTTGTTAACGGATTAAGTGAACAGTACGAGTTTTAGCAGTAATGAACCTAACATCTTTACATGAGATATCTTTGTTTTGAACAGGTTATACGCATTTGACGTTCATTGCAATTCCTATTTTCCACTTTTTGTGATCCTTTACGGTACTGCCTTCATAACTTTCTTTTCACTCGTCAATCCGTCTTTTCGAAAGTAACATACTAGTTGAAAAGTTTGGCTCAGTTCCTTGGTAAACATACGTATGCAGTTTGGTTTGATTTTGAAGTCCGACACTTGGTCCTGATCGTTGGTTGGTCCTGTCTTGCAGTTCTGCAGTACTTCTTGTCACCTCTTCTTCTTGCACATGGATTTGTGCCGACATTATTATCGAATATGCTGTACTTTGTCGCGCTTTCCTACTACCACTATCTCAACTTCCTTGGTTATGATGGTATGTAATCTATTAAAATAATCATATCGTTCCAAAATTTTAGCGTTGCATATTTCTGTGAATCATTTCTTGCCGTAAGTATTATGGTGTATTCTAATTGGTAATTGTGTTCTTGGTTTGTTGACTCTGATTGCAGTGCTGCCCTTCCTGGAAAGAACAATCTTTTTCTTGTACCCTATTGGCATACTGGTCATCCTGTTTCCGCTCTGTGAGTAATTTGCTTCTATTCTGACAGTATTGTTCCTGGTTGCTACTGTGATTGTGGTTGATATTCTTTTTTATTTTATTAGACGTTGATGAGGTTCATAGTATTTTTGCATTTCTCGCCTCTTAACTCACTCATGGCTAATCAGTGAAGGATTGCCACGCTCATTAGGTCTACACGTTGGCTTCATATTGTCTTTATATGATGTAGTGATACGCTCGAATTTGCAAGTTGAGATTCACTAATTAAATTTTTTGTCTCTGTTCACGTATTCCAGCTCTTCTGGCGGGATTTAATCCCTGTAGATTTGCCATGAACTTGTACTTTGAATGACTTTCCACTACTCTGTCACAGGTAATTACACATTCTTAGGTGTAAAGTATTTTTATAGTAAAGTCCATAAGGGTTTAAAGATCACAACTAGCTAGTTATTAGTTCCCTGGAAAGTGTGCCTGTTTGTTTTAGCCATTTTAGCTGGTCCTGTTTTTTCATCCTAATAGATTGTAGAGCGACAGTTTGAATTCTGATAAAATTTGCATGTAACGAGTGGTTTCTGCAGCAAGTCCGATAAGACTCATTCATTTTTAGTTTCACCTTAGTAACTCCTGGATTTATATTTGCTCACAGATATGCAAGTGTTGTTTGCGTCAGCGAAAGGTTTTTTTAAACTTTGCATTGATGACGAGCATCAACATGTGTTATCATTCTTCTGTGGGAGGTATTACTAGCTGGCTTCTGGTGGACTCAAATTCTTAGCTGTGCAATCTGGCACAACAACACTGTTGCCTCCCACTAATTATCATGTAATACAAATTGCACCTTGCGCAAATCACTTGGTATATATATATTGGACTTCAAAATGCCTGAATTCCGGAAGTGCCACCGAAGAAGATACCATGTTCTGATGGCTATTAGCTGATGTTTTGATAACAAGGCTGCTGTTCCGGAGCATGTTCAGAACATCCGGGTCAGCAGAAGCAATCCTTGTTTGTTTCTGCAGACCCAAAAACGACCGCTGTCTTGGCCCATCCTCTCTCTCGCTCGGGTCAAGACCCTGGGAATGCCCTCAGGTCGTGGGCGCTCCTGGTCCCAGCGATCCCCTTGTGCGAGCTCCCGTGGACAAGCGACCCCCGCCCACGGGGCTCGAGTGAGTGGACAAAGCCTTGTTCTTTTGTCTCTGGGCAAGCGGAAGCCAGCGTATACCTTATTCTTCGCGCCGTCCCTCTCTTCCTTCCCCCCCTCGGGATTCACTGACCTTGCCAGAAATTTGATCAAGCTTTGGATGAACGATGGCTCAAAATTATTGTCTTTCTTGTGTATGCCTTTGTACCCACACCGCACACTCTCAGCGATACATAGAGTAAGCCCTGATGAAATAGAATTACTTTGCCATATATTGATAAGAAAATAAGAGAGTGATCGAGGAGCAGAAGAGCAAGTCCTATACGTGGACTGACTCTTGATTCTGCTGTAACAGCAAGGTGAACAGTAACTGGTTCCAGGTGAAACTAGTTCGAGATAAAAGCTAACTTTGTTAACACCCTCTCTTAACTCGAGCTAGTCCGTCTTGCTGGCCGAGGTTCATAAGTCTATCCGAAGTATGAATGGAGAGAGTATGCTTTCTAGTTATGTGTCTAGATTTGGTTTTCTAAAGCTCTATTAGCATTGTCCTTTCTATCGAGTGTTTGTGATGACGATCTGCCGTTATCGAGGTCGTGAGCTAGATAGTCCTCTGCGGCGTTTCCCAGTGGGGTGTCTTGATCGAGAGATTTGCAGCCAATTGTCGGTGGTGAGTGATTTTCCCTCAATGATATATTAGGCTCAAGGTGACTGGATTTGTTTCAAGAGTTTGATAATTCTTCTCTTGCAGTGGCAGTCGTTCTTGTTACGATTCTGGTTGGTGGTAATACTTTTACATCAAATTGTTGATCGTTTAGGAGCAGCAGTTGGGGACAGACTTCTGCGATCCATTGATGAACGTCGACCTTCATCAGTGAATCTGAATCAAATCTTCTTCCTCCTGTTCCTGATTGTATTGTGGAGCAATTTCTCTGGCCGAAGTTGAATTCTCCCGCTTATCCGTCTCTGTTTGGCGATTACGGAGGATTAACAGATTTTGGTAGTCATTCGTCGCTGGAACGATCGAATGGCAGGCTCTTGAGATGGTGCGGGTGGATCGTCATGGGTATCTGAAAGCTGTTGCTGATGCTGGTGCTAAAAGGGAGTCACTTACTGCTAGACTAGGGTTTGAGATAGAACATCTAGGTGTTCTGATTGCTGAAGACCTGCCTAAACTGGATTATTGCAATTCACTAGGCTCAGTGAGGTCTCCATTTAAAAACGCCGTCTTGGCGTCTAGATGTGAGATTGTCCAATGATTGTTGGCCGCCATAGAGAGCACTGTTCGAATTGAATTCCATTTTGTAACAGGGACGAAAATCTCAGAATAGTCTAAACCTACTGCTTGTTGGTATCCTTGGGCAACAAGCCTAGCTTTAAGCTTGGTGGGTTGTCTAGTTAAATTTAATTTGGTTTTGTAAACCTACTTGGCAGAGACGGGATTGGCACCATTAGGAAGATCGCCCAACTCCCAGGTCCTGTTATAATAATATACTGAGAGTCATTCCTCCTCCATCGCTGAGCGCCAGCTTGGGTGCCGTTTAGCTTCGGCATAGGAGAGTGGATTTGCGATTTCTGTGGCCAATGCGTAGAAGTTGTCGATTTCCATGATATTTACATCCTCCGAATGTTCCGTGATGTAAGTAAGGCTATTGCGTTGTCTGGATGATGGCTGGCGTGTTCGTTGTGGAAGCGTGCGGTTAATTAATGGTTCGGGGGTCATGTGATGTGGTGGCAACATAGTCGGATATAGGGCGGTCAAAAGCTCAGTGGACACGCGGTGTGGTGTTGACAGGGTCGAATATGAAGGAGTCAGTGCGATGGCAAGAGTGTTGGAACTTGAGAGGAATTATGAGGTAGAGAATCTAGATTGCGACTGTCGTTTTGCAGTGGTAACTGAGTTGGCAAGGGTGAGACGAGGTTGTCAAGTGGAGAGTTGTTGTGTAACGGTGTGGGCCGAAGATATTCATTGACCAACAGGCCGCTTTCGTCGAATTGCACATTGCAAGTTGTTTTTAGTTTTCGTAGTTTTGGAATGTTGCATCAAAATCCTTTTGACTCTTCGTCGTAGCCGACCAAAATACTCTAAGTTGCTCTTGAGTCCAGCTTGTCGCCCTTGTCACTTTCTATAAATATGTATACTCGGCAGCCATATATTCAAATATGATTGATATTTGGTCGTTTTTGGAAAATCATTTGATAAAAGTGATGCTAGGATTAGCTCGAGTGGATGTCCGATTCAAGATAAATGTTGCTATGTTTACCGCTTCGATACAAAGGTACCGCAGCATTCCAGCTGCGAGATGCATTGTTCTGGTAGCTTTCAATTGGTCGCTCAGTGACCCCATTTTTTTTGGAGGTCGCAGCACATGTAAGTTAAGTTATTCCAGAGGCTGCGAATAGCTTGGTGAATTCTTTGCTTTAAGAACTCACCGCTCTTGTCTGACCCCACTGTAAATTTGTTTGTTGAGTTGCAATTCTTCCATGAATTTGAAGGTTCTAAAACATTCGAATGCTTGAGACTTTGTGCGTAGAAAATGTACCTAGATGAAGCGAGAGTAGTCGTCGATGATGGCTAAGAAATACAGTGATCCTCTCAAGGGTTGTGTCGGGAGAGGTCCACAGAGGTCAACATGTAAAAGCTCCAACGGTTGGCTAGCTTTGCTTTGGCTAGCTACTGGAAATAAGGCCATGGATTGTTTACCCATCTGGCAATTCTTCACACTTCGTTTTAGGCTGGAATGTAGGGAGGATCCGAGACTGTTTTCTCTGAGCTCATCTAGTGCAATGTCTGTAAATTGATATGCCCTAGGCGCTTATGCCACAACCGTGCTAAATTCACCACAGAAGTGGTGACGTTAGCTTGGATGTCAACTTTCCTTGTTAAGAGCTGATATAATCCATTTTTTGGATTTCATTTTCCTTTTGCAATACTGGTTTTCGACCCTTGTCTTATAAAATACACTTGTCTTTGTCATAGCAAGTGATGCATCCTCTGTCAGCTATAGAGCCTACAGAAATGAGATTTTTTTGAGGCTCGGGACATACAAAACGTCAGATATATTCTTTATTTTCCCAGAGGGCAAAGTGAATTTTATAGATCCAGAATCGGCAATGGCGTGATTTTGCCTTCCTGCAGTCTTGACATTTCCTCTGCATTTGTCTAGGCTATCGAAAGAATCCCTACCCCCACTGATGTGCTTTGTAGCACCTGAATTGAGATACCATCCATTGTCATTGCCTTGGATATCTAGTTCAGAAATGGCTGCCTCAAAAATGTCCTTTTGATCAGAATGATCCACGTTTTCTATAAGTGTGTTAATAGATTCGCGAAGGTTCCATGTACTCACTTCCTACACAATGTTGGCAAAACCAGGTTTGCTTCTGCTCTGGAGTTTGTTGCGCCTGTTTGATTCTAACTTGCGTATGTCAACAAGCCTTTCTAGGCCCATGCCTTTCCAGTGCCCATATCTTCCACAACAGTTAGACGAGTTAGAATTGGATAAGCTTGCTGTAATGTTTGGAGGTTGTCTTAGTAAACTCATTGGGTTATGAACTAGCTGAGATGGCTCGCCAATTCAAAAGTAAAGGGCTTCATTTGATCCATATTTCGTATCTTTTGCCTTTGACCTCATGGCAAGTCTGCTTTGTAACATGAGACTGGATTGTAGCTCGTTGAACTTTGGGTACTTACCTGCACTTGTGTAATGTTCTAAAACATGATCATAGTTGTCCGGCATATTTTTGATCGCAATCTGAAAAAGATCAGCGTCTGCAATTGTCTCCAATGGATGAGAGCTGGGACAATATGTTCCTGAATTTGTTGACGTAGGGTTTGAATCCAATCTCTTCGTTCATAGTGACAAGAGAGAGTTTATTCTTCAAATGATACTTCCTGCTGTCAGTGTTGATTTCATAAGTTTCTTTGAGGAAGTCCCAAAGATTCTTCAAATCGTGGAAGCTAGTCAAGTTACCCATCAGATCTGGACAAATGGAAAAAACGAGAATATTGAGCACTGCCTCCATCTTCTCTTCGTGGTTGGGATCTTGTGATTTCTTGCTGTCCCTCGATGGCTCCAAAGTGTTCCATAGCTGCTCCTTTTTCACTGCACACATGACATAGTATTTCCACACATGATAGTTATAAGAACCTGAAAGCTTGACTTCATCGGGAACTAGACTGTTTTTGGTCATTTCGAAGGAAGACTAGCGGTAGATAATGCAAGATATATATTCACAAGGGTTCTATGACAGGACACTAATACATATACATGTGAGGTGATTGAGAGAATGAGGAAGTAAGAGGTTCAGACTAGTAGTAATACAATTTCACAAGCTCTAATACCATGATGAAATAGAACTACTATGCCATATGTTGATAAGAAAATAAGAGTGATCTAGGAGAACGTCTTATACTTGGACTTACTCTTGATTCTGCTGTTACAAGAAGGTGCATAGTAACTGGTTCCTGGTGAAACTAGTTCGAGGTAAAAGTTAACTTTGTCAACAAGTCCACCTTCCAATGAGACAAATTAATAACCTTTCTTTTATGTGGTATTGTATCCACAGGTAAGACAATACATGAAAAGCAAGGAGGTTGGTAATGAATTGTAAAAGCAATTGCGAAATTTAGTGGGCAAGATCTATGTACACAAGATTTATTGAAGAAACACAAGTAAGTAGAAATCAGCAAGGTTAGACACAAGAGAAGTGTGGAATGAGATACCTCTCACTTCCAACACCCTTTACTTATAGGTAGAGGTTACATCTATTTTGGCTAGTATTCATCTTACTTTCATCCAACTAAATCCTAGATTCCTCTTAACCTAGCCGCCACTTTAAATCCTAGCCACCACCTTCATAACTTTTCTTCATCCTTTTGTTGCCCTTTGACCATTAGCAACTTATCTAAGATAATATCTTTTACCTTCTAACTTATCCTCCATTTACTTTAACACTCCCACTTTGCTATTGGTCAAAGGCTAATAAACCTAATGCCTTTGTCAATTTGTAATGTCTATCCTTCACCAATGCTTTTGTGAGTAAATTAGCAAGCATGTCTTCCATTGGACAATGTTTCATGTCAATTACTCCCATCTCAATCTTCTTCCGTATGAAGTGATGTTGAATGTCAATGTGCTTTGTCCTTAAATGATGCTTTAGATTCTTGGTAAAAGTAAAGCATCTTTGATTGTCACACTTCATTGGAGTTGCTTCCAATTGCACAAATCCAATGTCTTCTAAAACTTATCTTAGCCATATTGCGTCCATTGCACCATGACTTGCTACCATGTATTCCGCCTCCATTGTAGACCTTGCTATTGTTGGTTGTCTCTTACAATTCCATGAAATTGCTCCCACTCCAACAAAGAATACATATCCCATTATTGACCTTCTATCATTTGCATCTCCAGTCCAATCTGCATCACAATATCCATGCAATGTAATACTATCACCTCCAAGATTTAATTTGAAGTTCAAAGTGCCTTTTAAGTACCTCAAGATCCTCTTAATGGTTGCCCAATGAATTGGTCCAGCTTTTGATATGTGTTGACTTACAACACTCACCGCATATGCAAGATCCATCCTTATACCAACCATTGCATACATAAGTGAGCCTACTGCTGCCTTGTATGAAACATCTTTCATTTCTTCTTCAACTTCAGTAAATTCCTCATTCGTGAGCTTCATCAACTTCAAATTTGCTTCCAAAGGTGTTCCAATGGACTTGCATTCCTCCATATTGAACCGTTTCAACACTTCTTCAATGTACGTCTTTTGGCTCAATGTAATGATCTTCTCAGCTCAATCTCTCACAAATTCTACTCTTAAGCAATAGTGGAACTCTCCCAAATCACTTATTTCAAATTCTTTTGCTAACTTTGTCTTCAACCAATCCATCTTTTTCAAAGTATTGGTCAAAATGATCAAATCATCAACATAAAGAATAACAATCAACAAGAAGGCTTTTGATTGCATCACATACATGGAATGATCAGCCTCATTCTTCACAAATCCTTCATTCACAAAGAAGGTGTCCATACATTGGTACCATGCCCTTGATGATTGCTTAAGCCCATAAAAGGATTTTTTCAACTTACACACAAGGTGTTGTTTGTCTTCTTCAACAAATTCTTGAAGTTGATCCATGTAGATGTCTTCTTCCAATTCTCCATTCAAGAAAGCTGTCTTCACATCCATTTGGTGCATCTCCAAGTCCATTGCTGCCCCAATCGCCACAATGGTTCTAATGGTGGTAAATTTGGCCACGGGAGGAAATGTCTCATCAACATCAGCAACTTGTGAGTAGCCTTTGGCAACCAAACTTGCCTTATACCTCACAATATTATCCATTGCATCTCTTTTGGTTCTAAACACCCACTTACAACTAATTGAAGCTCGATTTGGTGGAAGTTGAGTCAATTCTCATGTTCCATTCTCCATGAGTGATTTGTACTCTTTTTCCATAGCATTTTTCCACTTCAACGCATTTGTGGACTTCATTGCATCACATAAACTCAACGGATCAGCAAGAAGTACAACATTGGCATGTTCTTTACTAACTTGAAGAA